CTAAATGAATGGGCAACGTCGGCCGACACTAACGCTTTACTGAATTTCGGGAAATCAAATGTACCTAATAGGGGGACCTCACCGCAGCCATTTAAAATTGCGCCCAGCCTCGACGCGTCGCTTAATCGGGACCAAATCGAAATCGATTATCGAATCGACAAACGAGCAGATATTTGTTTCTAAAACAAGTTACAATGGATCTTTTATATATTTTATTCGTTACAGAAGTATTAAAAGACAAAGAGGTATTTTAATTTTCAGTCACTCCTTTTTTATAGCTTAGTAAATTCAAAGATAAAAGATATCCTTTTTATTTAACAAAAGCCACAGATTTCGTGTTGTATTCGAAATCACGGTGATAATTAACAAAAGTTTTTACATTCATTAAAGTCAAAATCCTTTTGAGTTAAGTTAAAATTAAGTTGAGCAAGTTACCCTTTTACATAATCAAGAAAACGTTGAAGAATTGTGATGGTTGTTTGTATTAAAAACTTAATTATATTCTAAGGTTCATGGAAAATAGAATATTATTATTAAAGATTAATTAATTCAAGACTCTGTGTCCTCTCAACGTTTATCTTAACCGTACGAGTGAGACGTGTTATTGCGTATTCGGCAACATTATTCCAGAGCACAGGGATTATAAGACCGACTGTTGTAATTCGTTCGCTATACGAAAGTTTTATGTTTAATAATAATAAAAATAAAGTCTTCCTTCTATACAGATTCTTTAAGTCAACCCACAGATAACGAAATTAAACAAAACACTACTTTAATTAAGGTAAATACCATTGAAATGGGCAAAATTAATACTCTTAGACTTTCTATTAAGCTCTAAACAACGAAGTGAGAGAATATCATATTTACACTGTTCAAACCTCCATAATATCTACGAAGGATAATTTAATACTGAAAACCGGAGAGATGGAGTCCAATTAAAGTTTATTAAAAGTTATAACCACTGAATGGTCTGGCTGAGATATAATTAAAGGCTGTTATTTAATATCGTCGGATGATGCTTCGACGATCGTATCTCGTATTAATATTTGTAAAGATTGGATAAATAATAAGTTTATTTATTTATTAAGAAAACTAAACATATACATCTCTATACAGTAAAAAAAGTAAAACATAAATAAACAAAGAAGATGCAAGGCTTAGGACATTAGTAGTTATAACTTATTCTAAAATGAAGCAGTAGAGGAGTGCGAAAAAGGGTCGACATTAGTGGTAGAATCCAAGGTAGAACACATTCTGTGAAGAGGCTCACGGAACCCAATGTTGGTTCTGGAAGTCGGAAGGTTAAAAGTTCTGAGCGAGCGTAGAGATCTGGCAGGAACATTAAATGGTATCAGTTCGAGAAGATGGGAAGATTTTACTTAGGTTCATACTTGTTACGGCAACCAAGAAATGTTTGAATCGCCTTCAATTACATTATTCGCCAAAACCGTAAATTGATGCAATAACATATTTGTGCGCATCTCCATTTTAATAAGATTAAAAATATTACTAAGAAATCATAGACCTAATATTGATTTGAGAACGCTCAAGTCAGTAAATGGCCCTTTAAGAGCCCGGGCATAGGACCGATGAAGGAATCCCTGAGGTGCAGTAACCAACTTTGGTCTACGAAATACGTCATTTATACGAGACAGTAGTCGCGCCATTTTGTTGCGTACAACCCATTAGGCAAAATTTACTTTAATCCGACTAGGAATTGAACCTGATCCAGTCAGATCGTAAAGCGTATAAACTAAGTCTTTTGTTTAACTCCCCTTTGTGGAGTGCGATGGAGATTTTTTACTCATATGCGACAAAATAAATTAATAATAAAAAATAAAAAAAAATATGGCATTCGGTTTAATGTTTGATAGTTGGACTGGACTGGACCTGCTTTTGTGAGAAATAGTAAAAATATTTTTTTTATGTTTTAGATGAAGAAATATTTTATTATATATCTCTTAAGCACATAAATATTTGTAAACTTGTATAATTTAAATAATAATATGAATATAATTTAAATGCTCTATAGAATTTCCATAGGAGAAAAAATTGCCCGGGACGTAATCTGTCGGTGTAGCGCCTCCCCTCGCTATACTCCGTTTGTGTCTGACATCCGTATTTAGTCCGATGGCGATGAAAACTTAATAAAGAACATCCTTATGCATTTTAATATATTCAGCCCCTTTCCAATAGAGCCTAGAATAGCCTAGGAGAGATCTGCCTAACTGAATTGCCGTGGAATCTTTTTATATGGAGTGTGTATTGAATGAACGATCGTGAATTGAATGCCTTTGTAAACCAATAATTAGCGAATTGGCCATCATTATCAGGAGAAGGATGGATTCATTTAAGTAATATAACTTGTTTGTTTTCTTTATACGCAGATATCTTAAGTTCAAGTCTCATTTAAAGAACCTAGCTCTAAAGAACTCTATCTCATTTCTTATGTGGATTGGGTAGAACAAAGTCCAAGTTGAGGTTTGATGGCAGATGACATTTTGCTGTTATGTAAATAATAATGTCACCTACAACATTATCAGTAGGTAGATGACCTTTTAGAGTCGACCGGAGAGTGTGCAGCAGCATTTGCATTTCCATCTTTCGTCGCTCCGCCCTCGTTTGGATGCTAATATTTTATAGTTGAAGCTCTGCTCCTTTCACTTGTAATTTGTTTTCGAGATGTTTTTCGCGTTTTATCTCATTTATTCCGTAATTTTTGAATTTGTACGCGAACCGCGAGTTGAAGTTGGAATATTTTCCGTTATAACGACTTTAATAAAATCCCGAGCTCTTTGTTTTAGTCTGGACCGTTGTTGGACGATATTAACTTCTTTTTTGGGAAAGAAAAAGACAAAAATAGCATTCTTAATCAAAATATTATTATTGAATTTTTTATGAATGATTCAGAAGTATATTAGTATATTTACATATAATATTTAAAAGTATAGAATTGTTATTTACATTGTGTATTTCATACGCTGGTGTTGATTCATTATGAAACCGTTTCAAAGCAAATAAGGATTTTCACGGAGTTTCGAAGAGTTGGAACTGGCGTTGAAATGTTTATTACATTCAAAGTTATGTTCTATTAAGATTCTTTATATACTATTCCATTCATTGTCGCGGACATTAAAAATACTCTCTACCTTCCTACGATCCGTTGCAAAGTCTGTAGGAGTCTGGTAGGAAAATGTTTGCGAAAGGCGAATTTTGGTTTGTTTACAGAGAACAGGATGTGTGCTGGAAGCTCGCCAGATGCAACCTCACACTTGTGGCGCTTTACGCACCAAAGTGGCAAAATTTACACATTTGGTGGAAATACGAATAATATATACTTGCCCTCTTGAAGGGTGTTTTGTTTTAACAAATTTTCAATACATTGTTTTGTCTTGAAGTTCAATTCAGAAGTCAAATTTTCGCAAATGCTGAATTTCATAACTTTAAACACTGGTCCGAATTGGTTCATTTTCTTGACCTGTTAAATATTACTTTTAGTTGCAATATGATACCTACGCTATTATGTTTTAGGGGTCTCTTACTAATTTCCTAACATAACATTCTGCTTATTCTGTTATATATCTAATACTGAAAGGCTATATCTGAGCCGTATATCAATAGCAAAGGTGATTTGCCTCAATTTACATCACTAGTTGTAGTGACATCAAAGCAATCTATTGTGTAGCCCTGAAGGCGACACCACTGAATATGTATGGCTGATGAATGAAAAATCGGTTAGGACAGATTATTCCCCAGAAAAGCTCAGTAGGCTAATAGCTAGATAGTACTAGTATTGTCCCTAATATTACGATAGGAATTAGGTGTATCATAATAAGTCTTTGTTCTTCTTAACAATTTCGAAACTGTAATATTTAAAGTCAACGTGATGTTAACGCCGATATAGTTCCTTGTTACCTCAAGAGCTTACGAAATATTTGACAGGTTACATTTAAAAATAATAAATACACACAATTTTTATATCATATTTATTTACCTTTTATTCAAATTAATTTAACAAAAGTTTACATTTTTTATAGAGATGAAATTTTGCAAACAATTTCGTGCAGAGAATTGACATTACCTTATGTGAAACACAGCCATAGATTAAATTTAATTGTAATACTAATTTATGATAAAGGAAAACTCCGAAAATTATCATTAAAGTAAAAACATATTAAACAAACAAAAAACGGTTAACTAAAGTATATTAGAGGTGTAAAAGTAAGAAGATAAATCTAAATTTGTAATTAAAAATCTTAAGCTAGTACATAGGATACTATGAGGGAGGGAGGCTTATTTGCGAAATATTCTTTAAAATAAATTTAGAGTTCTAAAGCTGACGTTGTTGACATTCATTTGTGAATGCAGTTATATAATTCAAGTCCGTGGGTTACGCGAAGTACTCAGTATTAATAAGATACTTTTCGAAGTAAAAACAACGAGGTTTTATTATAAGATATGATATGATACAAGCAGCGTGTTTTTTCTCGCAGTTTACGTATTCAAAATTTCATATTTAAAAAAACAATAAGATAATTTTCAATAGGATAAGAGAAAATGCCTTTTATTTAATTATTATAAATAGAAACATAATTACTTATGACAACTCAGTAGTGCACTGAATATATCAAATAAATCGCTCCAGCTCCATATACAAAAAATAAATTTTGTCTAAGTCACAACATAATATTACTGTACAATTTTACACATAGTGATACTATAACCTTATATTACGTATCTAAAGTCCAAATGCACAAAAGTCAATCAAATATAGGATTGGCTCAGATGCTGTCGTTGTTAATACATTTGAGTGGCTTTTGAAGATTTGAGCACTAGAGGTGTATTTTATGTTCTCTTTTGGCACCGGAAGGTTAATATTGGCTGGTGGTATTCATATTTTTTATTTTGAAAACCATATTTAATTAAAAAATGGTAAAGTCGCTCTTTTGTTTGGACAATTAGGCCAAAGTTACACTAATATCACCTGTTCATTGTGAGCCTCATAAACTTATCTCCAATACAGAATACAAATACGATAAAAAACTAAGTTGAAATCCCAAGCTTGTACCTGAAAAGAAAAGTGCACAGTGTTCACTGTCAAGATAAGTTCATTAGTTTTTACGCCGGCACGAAAGATCCTATCCGTCCTTTAAATTTAAAACGTAGGCATTGAAAAACAAATTAAATATATTAGAACTTGAAAAGTAACAGAATTCAAATAACATTAAGTTTCGTTCAGACCTCGCATAGTGGATCCGCATTTAATTTGTTAAATGCTTGCTGTCACTCAGTCTGACTTCAACATACCGCGTAATAAAATTGAAGGATGTGAACATTTTTAATTACTTTCGAATGGACTATTTAAATTCATTTGCATGACACTCTTTTCTCTGCGCACTGACCAAAATAAAACCTTTGAATGCGTTTTATTTCCGTTAAAATTCTTGGCTTTGTTTCAAACAAGAATTAAAAAAGATAAATCAAGTGAGGATGAGCATTATTCAGGGCAAAGGAAAAGTCATTAAACTTCTTGGATAAACGCGCCACTATCGCTTATCTCGGAAACTTGTCCGGCGAACGTGCACAAGCGCAACTGTATGCATCCGCCCTTTAATTCGAGTGCTTTATAAGTGGCTATCAAACCCCGCAAGTGAATCGACGAATGGAGTTCCGAGGAATGAAGTTTTCCGCTTTTGAAAATGACAAATGGATCTTTGTGCACAATTTGTAAATGGTTGCCTATGTATGCTATTACGACAATAATACTTTTGGAAGTTCTACCTATAAAGTTGGTTAATCAAAATAAACATCGTACGAAGAACCCTATTTTAATACTATACCTGAACTGGAGACGTATTTCGAGAGTTGTGTACGAGAGTAGAGCGTCAGGACAGCACCCGCATCGCGAATGACCGGCGGTTCCACGGGCAGGTTGGCTTCGCATCGCACGCTTAACGCCCCGCTTTCCGCTGGAGGAACCGGGACGCGCAGAACACGCCAAGACGCACGTAATCCTCCTTCCTGAGGTGCGGTCAACTCAGTGCGGTGCCACGGCTCTTGCTAACAATAATATTAACATAGAATGAAAATGATAGTGGTTATTTAAGGAAAATTTGAGTTTATTATATACATTGCTCAAGAAAGGATCTTCAGTTTTATTCTTAGCATTACATATTATGCTGATGTGAAGGTCAGTTCAGGGTTTTTTTTAAATAAAGAAATGAATCTTATTAACTCGCACACATAAAATTAACATCGAAAGATAAAACTAAATACTTATACAAAGAAAACAGAAAAACGCTCGACACTCGTTAGTATAAAACTATTTCAAACTATTATCAGACAATGATTCATTAATTTGCCTCTGAAAGTTTTTGTCACTGTTGAACATTTGGTAAATATTAAGAATAAAATTATATCTTTTAGGATATTAAATGCTGCAAATCGCGTGCACTACGCAAGTAAAGTTTCATCACATTATGTCTTATCCATTTCACGCAATATCGAAGCACAGCTCAAAGACTTAAGCCAATGGAGCGTTCTCGAGTCACATAATAGCAGCCAATTTATTTCAACAGACTCCGCTATCAAGATCGCTCCAAATGCCCTAAACTAGAAGCATCCGAGGCTTAAATAGCTATTTAATGTGACGGATATTGCACGGAATGTGTAGTGATAAAACACTACAAATTACCCTTACCTAATAAATAACAAAATAAAACTGAACTGAAATCCTGAACAACGTATTTACCGACTTTAAGGCATTGACAAACTTATGTTATAATGAAACTTTATTTTTCATTTTACAAACCTCCCCCAAGCCGACTGGCCTTCGTGGGGGAAAGAGACCACGACCCTTCGTAGCTTTTGACATATATGGCAGAAAACTAAGAATACCTATACGTAGAGAATACAGGCGTGCTTGGTATGAGTTATAACAAAAACATTTTTTTTTTGTGTTATGTTGTAAATATTATCCGTAAGGTTTTGAAATAAATAAAGGCTTTATAATTATAATAATGAAATTTTGTTTAGTATCAATTAGCTCCTAAAACAGGGTAACTCAATCACTGTAATCGATAGCGCCTAAACCAAATAGATTGGATTCCTGATTCCATTAGGGAGCATGTGAGCAAACTGTTAGCTCGGACAGGAGCATCTCTGGAATGCAACCCATTCAAGAGGACTATAATTATTTGACAGTAAGAAGTGGCAGAGAAAAGCAAACACTTTCACAACATCTACAATTGATTGAAAGTATTAAAAACACTATTAATTATAAAAATTTGAAAGTGAAGTTTTCCGAAAATTTTGACTCTCATTCCTGAGGTGCGAATTTAACACTCGCTCGTACGGTAAAGGGGAACATCGTGAAGAAACCGATTGCCGTAGACCGTGTGTGATGGCGTGTTACAGGCACTGAAGGCTTGCCTGTTAGAAAAAACAAACGATCACGAAACAGATACACACATCTGAGGCCCCGACACAGGTTATAGCGCCACATGTGTTTTTATGGTAATTTACCTTCTGGAGGTCGTTATCAATATACCAATTGATATCGGCAGGTGGCAGCGAGTAATCCGAGGTGCAATTAAGCAGTATTTGTTCTCCAGGCTTCACTAATTTTGGAGCTCCAATAATAACAGGATCTCTCTCTGGCATCGCTAAAAGAAATATATTTCAATAGGATACAATCACAAGTACTGTGAACTCGTTAAATAGAAGAATATTTGGTGTAATAATAGCATTTAAAGTCCAGCATAATGGCTATGTCAACTGTTTAACCTAAACTCATAATAATTTTTAAAAAATCGTATAAACTAACGAACCGACAACAGTCATATGCTTAGTCTGCCGCGCTATCTGGAACTTGGGTCCTTCAGTGGATATTTCACAGCTGTAAGCGGCTCTTGCAGCGACAGGCGGCGGCATCACCCTCACCATACACCACTCCGCCTGGCACTCCCCGCCTTGAACCATGATACCGGTCACGTTGAACAGGCGGATCGGAGGCTACTGAGTTTAATGGGTTGTAAATACATCATATTCAAGGAACCATGAATAAAAAAAACATACCATTTACCCATGTAATTGGATTATAGAGGTTTCATTAAATTCTATTCGAAAGCCACGTTAATTTTTTTTCAAACACAGTCATTTGTTATAGATAGTTTTTTTGTTATTGTGAAATTGCGGTAGATAAATTTAATTATTAAGGTAATCACAGCAGCTATTAACGACCCATCGAAAATCTGCAGGCTTCACATACGCATTAAAATAATAAACTAAATAAAAATTAAGCAACATTTTTACATTTTAAAATTTTTATACAAATCCCCAATTTCGTTGGTAGACGTAAAGACCTAATATGTCCGGCGTAAAAAAAAGCTCTTTTTGAAATGTTATTGACTGTCAATGTACTTGCCTTTTGTGAGGGATTATATCGGAAGATCTCGTGCATGTCTCGGTACCATTTGACAGAGTGCAACTTCTGGTCATCCATTTGAAAGTGACAGCTAAGCTCAGCCGCACGACGTGGGTCTGCGTAGAGCGGCACTTTGAGTTGAGTTATCTTGTACGCCGAGGTCAACGCTATAAATTAAATAAGTAAATTAAACACTAACGGAAAGTATACGTAATAAGTATTTTTGTGAGCACAAAGCCTACAAAAAGAGAGAACTACTTGCAGTACAATCTAGCCAATATAGTAATTATGGCTAGCAATTGTCTGTTCCAAGATAATGAACATTAACTAAAATATGTTCTATTATGAGGACTATATTCGTGTATACTTAAATTCGTCATAAAAAATATAACAAATCTGCTTTGTTTAATAGAGCGGATACGCCTAATAATATTAAGTGCTAATAGTTAGTTCTACCTAAGTTTTGAAAAACTATTCTTAGAATAGATATTCCTCCTCATGATGTTTGATAAAGAACACTGTATTGTGAACTTATATCTGTATTTAACTTTTATTTAATTTAAAATTGTCATCCAATATAACGTAACAAAGCGGTAAACTGTTATTATAATTAAATTAACATTGCCTAGATGAGTTCGAGGTTTGTTCAGGAAATACAATTACGAAGTAATTATTTATAATCTGACAGAACTATACGTGTATAATAGTATCCAATCTTTAGGAAAGCGGTGAAGACTATAGATTGTTATCTAGACGCACAGAACTAAAGTCTAAAGCCTGCGTGGTACTAAAAGACAACTGTGTTAACATAAAATTGTCTTCAAAAATATTATTAGCAGCGAAAAGTCGTAAAATCTGGATGGAAGCCAATTTCCCTGTGACAAAGGCCATCTTATATGTTATTGTTTCTGCTCGCCGGTCGTAAGGATATGCCAAAACAGATTCTACTGAAGTCGTAAATTCGATTTAGTTTGCATAATACCTTAAATTTACATATTTGAGATTGTGTGTAGTACGGCTATTGTACGAAAATAACTTATATTTTCGTTCCATTTCATATTTTAATTTAAAAAATTGGACAAAGTTTCCTTTTTCGGTTTCCATTCATTAAATCTGTCAGCAAAGTCGAGCTTTTCTAATAAAGAAAAATAATAATGAAATATGTACTTTAATGTGAATATTAATTTTTTAATGTAATTAAATTATATAAGAAGATGGAATACTTAATTAAATATATTTCTAAAAGATGAGAAATATACCCGAAATATTTACAAGGCTTAGTAATCCGAGTATTACTCGGAGTTATATACAGACATATTTCAACGAAACATGACACCGGCATTAATTTTACATTTCTAACCTGCTTAATTAACTCGGTTGACAATGTAACGAAGATCAATCCAAGCTAAGGCTTTACTATCTATTCCAGACTCCATGTAGTTGTATTATATAGCAATAATGACAAACGTAAATACGTCTCATGTACGTAAATTAAGAGTAGCTTTTACTTACAGTAAAAATTAAATGGATTCCTCCTGAATAATAATTATATGTGAGCGAATAAAAATTTTTGTTCGAAATTAAATATAATAATTTACTGTTTCAAAGTAGGAACAGCTTAAACGGTCAGCAACAAAGCGATCGGCCATCATAGGTTAAATTGTTAATTCCATTGAACCGTAAGGAATAGGAAACCGCTGCGATCGTCGCAATCGTCGGCGGCTTGGCGAGAGGCCAACTCTCGATTGTGTTATACCGATTGTCTACGATATTCTCCGATATAGGTATTATCGGGAATTACAGTGAGAATGGCTGGTAATTTCGTCGTTGTAGTGTTTTTGTGTCTTCATAAATAATATTATCAAACTAGTAAAATAAGATATTTTATTATGCGGTTTACTTTGATCCTGTTCGGTTCTGTAGAGATTCCTACAATCTACGACTTCAATCACGGTGACGACGTCATACCCTGAAACGCGCTAACTACTTTATTCCAGCCACTTAGTTAGGATATACAAAACTCTCAACCATAGCCTGACCAGTGGTTAAACGAGTCGAGGATCCTTCCTTTAGGTTGAGGAAAAGCCTTCCTTCCTCCTTCCTCTTCACAGTTCATTTATGGCGTTGCATGGGAGAATGTTTTTTTTTACAATTCCTTAAGAGTATCAATTTTAAACTTATATATGTCTTTAATTTATCAATATTTATATTGCGATCATAAAATTAAACGCATTAAGACACGCATCTCTCAAACAGCACAAAGTAAACGCTACAAGATACCTGTCATTTCCATGACGTGAATTCAATTTATCCAACAGTTGATTTTGCTGCAACACACTTTTTGTAAATAAGAATAATGGAAATTATGATGGCCGGCTGCCAGATAAGTTATGGGACGGAAGCAGATTGTATTTTATTGTCAATTGATCGACTCTTCTTTAGCCTAATAACAAATGTAAGTTTAGTAAAAAAAGTATTTCTCTGCTTTTAAAAATTACACGAATTGTGTAATTTTTGTTCAATTAAGATTCATTAGTATTTTTATTATTTGTATTGTATTTATTTATTTTTAATGAAATTGAACTCGATATTAAATTAACTCTCATAAAACGCTGTATTTGAAATATTTTTGTCGATCTGTTTTATATTAAAAACTATAGGGTAATATTGAATAGGTTCCTATACACCTTAAGATATATCTACCTAAAACATGAGCTATGAGAGATAGTATTTATTTAATCAAACATTATTTAAAGAAAAAACCTCAATTTTAAAACCAACACTCACCGCAAACGGCTACTAAGGTAAAGATCTTCATTTTGTCTTCGCTTTTTACAGCTACATAATAAAACTATAAATAACACTTAATTAAGTCACAGTTTAAATCAGTTCACTATCCATTATATCCTTTTTCAAAACACTGTCTAATTGTTTGTGTTTTTATAACACTAATGAAGTTGCGTGCCAATTTCTTTCCACCACCGTAATTAATATGTTTTTTAAAGTCTCTCATATATTATGTTAAAATATTGTCTTTCAAAAATCCCTATAAATTGTTAGTATTTTATAAAACAATTCCGAGTTATTCGCTACGTCAATGAAAGCGGAGACCGCGTACATTCGTGCTACGCGAAGTGTGCTACGTCGGCCGCTGTTCTACGGCAAATGCCCTTGCTTGTGGCATTAGGGCGAAGTCATGCGCAGTGCGATCTCGGTAAAAGGGTCCTTAAGTGGATTAAGTTTTTAAACTTTGACAATATATTAAGTGAAATCGGATTTTCTAAAATTAAACTGTTAAGTGAAAAGTTGTACTTGGACTTTTTGTTTCAAGTAAACATTTATAGATTTTTAAGCACAAACTGTTTTTACACAAATCCCTTCTTTTCTTTTTATTATTTCTAAACTATCGTTAAATTTGACTAAACGTTTGAACTAATTTGTATGAGTATCAACTAAATATTTTATATTATATAAAAAAGCCACAGTGTGTCATTAAATATACGTAACTCGCATAAATGAACAATCAAGCAGATTGCATAGATCTAATTGGCTCCGCCTACGAACTCAACCCTCACCAAACAAAAGTGCATTGAACTTTGAAACAGTCGTCAAATACTAAGTAATTTAAACCTCATGAGTCATAGCAGCGACCCCTTCGAGTTTTCGTACTTCACACCATGGGGAACTTATAATTAGGTCAAATTTACTTTTTAATAATGAACTAGTATTTGCCTGCCGCACCTAGTTTTATGAAATTAATTAGATTTACGTAACATTTAATGTTTTTAGATTACAATTTCTAAAAAGATTATATATTCAGTAAAATATTATAGTCTCTATAATATATATTTTTAAAAAAGATAATAAGTTTTAATTAATGGGCAAGTCTTTTCCTTCGTAAATTATGTTTCAAGTATTATCATATAACTGATCAAAATCAGTCCACTACGATGTGTTACTTTATTAGCCATCAAAGCGACACTACCCATTTACGACCACAAAACGAACAGTTTTTAAAGGCGAGCGACACAATTATATTATGTTATGCCTTAACTTGTTAAGTAATTAGATTCTGTAAATAATTATATTCGTCACAAATAGTTTTTTAGCCTTTACTGTTGGTGGTAAACATTGTGTTCTTTCTCATCTCCCAATTTACATTTATCTTACATCAACAACCTCAATTCATTAGGCTTGCGTATCTAAGCTTCCGAACCTACTAACACTATGATTTGCATTATTATTGTGATATGTAACAATAAAACTCAAATCCGGGTCACCAATGGGCGGCTGAAGGTCCTAAATATTCGCTCTGACTAAATTGGCACAATCAATACCATGTTAAAATATTTATCAGTAAAATCGACAGTACTTCGACAGTCCAGTCAGAATAGTGCCTCTTTAATGATATTTGATAAGGTACCTTTTACATTAACGTCTTAATACAACATTTTGATGAATTGTAATTGGGTGTGCTGCTATAAAATAATATTTATGAAGGCAGTAATGGTGACCCCAGAGCTGGTGCTTTCCCCGCTCAACGAATAAGTATCGCAATACAGAGAGGAAATGCTGCCAGCGTTAAAGGTACACTGCCACAGGGACAATACTTTTTAAATTTATTTTAATTTCCTTTAATTATTATTATTATTACTATGTAGGTTAAGAATGATATTTTTTTATTTTGTTTATATTTATGTCAATGTAAGTAAACGTCTTAAAGGAAAGATTTTATGACAGTACTTTTAAAGAACTTAGCATGAGAAATGTATTGTATTGAAGTCATTGATAACCTAAATTAATTAAATATGAAAATTACTAGAAACTTTGTGCTTTAGCGTTTAGCTCTGAAAGTGTATTTTTAAAGCCTGCAACGCTCTCATGAGCCTTCTGGCAACTTCCATGGCGGCGGAGCCACTCAACATTAAATGAGCTTCTGGCCGGTTTGCCTTCTGTTAATTAAAAAACGTAACAACTACTTTGGGAAAAATTTATGTTATATTATATGCAACTCTTTTCTGTTTCTACTTTATATTTTGTAGCTAATTATATATTGAAAATGTATAGGTGTCTCGTAGGTCGCTATTATTATAGAGAAACTTTAACCGCTAAAACCACGCAAAGCTTTTCTGACTACGTCTGACAGCACAGTCTTATTATAAGTTCGTATAATCCGGAAGATAAAGCAACATTTAAAAAAAAGCTTTGTTTTTTAAATAAGATAGCTTTGATTAAGCAGTTCTATAAACCACTGTACCTATAGTGTTTTCAAAACGATATTTATTAACATACTATTATTATCTAAAAATTAAATATTCAACGCCAACTTAAAACAAACAACTTAGAAAACAAAAGCGAGTCATAAAAGAGCTATTTTCATAGCAAACTGAAGTACGCAATAGAAATAGTAACATGCAGTTAATTCCTATTTCATAGAAACATTTTCTTTCGTAGACAATTACGTTCCCATTCGGACGAGTTGAATTTAAATGTTTTTTCTGTAAACAAGAAATCAACACTATATATATCTAAACAAATTACTTAGGAATGTTTATAAAACAATAAATTTCACATATTTTATTAAATAAAGACGGATTGAAAATTATAAAGTTAAAAGAACTGAATCCGTTGAGAAAAACAAAAAACTAAATAACTTAATGCGACTTAGGTGAAACTGTCGGGCCATCGGATGAACAAAAGTAATTCGAATCAATGCACTTATTTGATTTTGCAAACGATATAATTTTACGGACGGACTAACATACCATTAAATTATAACTATAAATTCTGTTGTTAATTGCATTCTCTAAAACATAATTAAATCTGGTAAAATATGAAAAAATTAAAAGTTAACAGAAATAATATACAAAACGGACCCCTTCGCGTTTTTAACGACCCCTAAGAATTTATTCGAATCTATATTAAATCTTTCGTTATCCAACATTCAATCTGAACAAAAGGAAAAATTTCCGAAAAGCTTTTCGTTGAAAGAGGAAAATTTACATTACAAAATAAGAAAAGGAAGTCCTAGACATGAAATTACAACCTTTGGGATCGAGTGTGGCTTTAGAGGGCGTGCCTTCTATCGAGTGTTGCGAAGTGAGCTTTATTTATGACGGTGTGTCTACTGTTATTTAACGCCCTTTTAAATTACTTCCTTACGATCAGCCTTCGCCGTTATGAAGCAATGGGTTTACTCGAGATCACCTATAGTTCCTTAGTTTTAGTTCCCTTTGATAAATAACAATAACTTGCTGGCACTGAAAACTTTAAAAGTATCTCAGTGAGTTGTGAACATAATTTAAAAAAATATTAAATAGCGTTATATATTTTCTCATTAAAATCGATCGAATCGAAGTAAAACACGAGTTGCAATTAAAGTGTCGTTTGATTACTCGTAACGCAAATTACGTCCTGGCAAAATGTAATAATTACTCAATAGAGTAATAACTCTATTTTACTTTAACTAAACCTACATGTATGTCTCGTGTTAACATAATCTAAAATTTACGTTGGTATTTATTTAATTTTAGGCCTCGAACATAAACCAGGTTAACGGTGTAGGTTAAGCTCATCGGATTAAAACAACTTTTGAAGGGTTGAATTATATGAAATTTCACTATTCATAAAGCGTCTGCTTAGTCTAGGAAAACTGAATATTGCGTAAATGGTAATTTATTATTTCTACATATCGTTTCCCATTAAAAGTAAGGTAAGCCTATCAAAGTACGTCTGTTTGTATGGAAAACTTTTATTTCAAATTTAATAAACACTCAACATTTTGTAAGTTTGTGTTGGTATGTCCAAATATCTAAAACAGTTGTGAATTCTCACACAATTAGGCTTCCCATGATCTACCGGTAAACTCTCTGCTTGGCAGAGGCCGCTCAAGTCTGTCACAAAAATTATTGATTACGAATTTGATATGAGCTTTTGCCATCACAAGAACGTTATCAAATCGCGAATGATTTATTACTTAAATATCCGCAGCAAACGATAGGGGTGGATAACGATCGTGCAACGCAATTCGTTACCGCGAAAAATCTATTAATAATAATAATGAAATGATGTCACATGTTATTTGAATTTTTTTCTTTGCCAAAAAAAATTATAGCTCTATGTAATTTTTTTTATTTTTAAATTCAATAAAATTTGTAATATTTTATGCTTGATAGAGTAAATAATGCATGATAAAATATCATTGCCTGCTAAACAATTGCGTGTTGAATATTTGATTTTACGACTATTGCTATACTGATAACAAGAAACACTAAAAAATATAGTCGTGTAAATGTTGGACTCTTAAAATTATTTTTTACCAACCAATTTTGGAATTGAAATAATTTGAAAATGTATTGAAATTGTTTGTCAGGTATCTAAGTAAAAAGGTTTCATAATTTAGCAACAATATACAAAACGAATTATTTTTATTTGTACGTCGCAGTACACAGTTGTTTCGTCTGACGAATCTCTTTGAACGTGGCCAACGAATTAATATGTGCACTAAGACCACGTGACGTTCAGCTCTCCAGCAAAACATGACGTGCCAACCATGAAGGCACAAGAAGCAATATAAATTTAAAATGTTTTATAAATAAAAGGAGTTGTTGTCTCAATATCACAAATCACACTTAACTAGTCTAATCCGAATGCCGAGATATGGGTTACGTGATTATCCCATGAATTTCCCTTCGAAATTACCGCACTTTCAAACGTTGAAACTTTTCTTCTGGTGATGAACGCTTTCGCAAATTGGCCACATTTATTCGACCGCACAAAACCGTCGCTAATGTTCTCAGGAGGCATTTATTCTACGGCTTTATATAGCTCCTAATATATCCACGTAATATACCACTTGTAAGTGAATTGAGTTGAAATTGCACTTAGAAGCTCTTTTCGTCTCAACGACTGATTGGAAAATGTTTCAGCTAAATTTTAAGCCGTGTGCTACTCTTGGAATTGCATAATTCTATCTTCATTACTGGTAATTTTGATGAGTTTTAGACAAAAAATCACACGGTGACATTTATTTGGGCTGATTTAATATATATTTATTTTATAAACAAAAATGACAATATTAAAACTTCCGCTTTAGTATTTAAATAAAAACATTACCCTTTCAAATAATAGAGTACTAATGGAGCTCTAAATGCAGTATAAACGTAGAGAAAGTGCCAGTATATTCCGCGAATGCAGCTTGTGATCCATCCCTCATTCAAATGCAATCTTAAAGAGAGGATGAATAATTCATGTTACTAATCTCTTCGAAGGATTTCCATTTACGTGCCCCTGTAACGAATACCCGTTGCCGAACCTATAAAGTAACCCTTTGCAAATGAAAGGACACAGTCTCAATTGACCAGAACAACACTGGCAATAAACTGGGATTGGACAATTCAACAGAATATTTTCACTGAGACTATACGCTAGAGAATAACTACAAAATAGAAGCTCCTAAATTCCAATAAATGTACTTTAAGATACAAGCAAAGATATCTTCACTGTGCTTCTTTATATATTTAAACGACCTCGCAGGGATAATCTGAAGTTTATCATTCAGTCTATTGTAATATCTAGACAATTTAGTACTACCAATACGTAAATAAAAATGATTACAACAGATATATACTTATATAGATATTTTTTTGTATTATTAGGATATTATAATATTATTTTACGCAGACATCGATTCCAGAAAACGAAGAGATTTTAGATTCCCCTAAATTGTTTATAATTCGAAGATAAAAGGAATCATGCTTTTTCTCTGTTTTCAGAGACAAATAGCGAAGAAATCAAGAAGCGTAATCGTCGGGGAGAGTTCAAGAGGAGCGGACGTGTCACGAGACGGACACTAATCACGGTACTTATTAGACTTCTCACTTGATTTCAAACTTCTTTTCCAGTAATTGAACAATTTATTTAGCTTATAGACTTGTAGCTCTACCTAAGAGACTTACTACAGTTATCCATATTCATGAAAATGTAAATAGACATTTATTGTGAAAGCAAAACTACTCGTGAAACAGACTTCGCTTAATCGTTCATTTCGTAACTGACGGATATTGTAGCAACTTTCGCATCAACAAAACAGTTTGATGTAGTTCGTTCGAGCGAAGCGAAGGCTTCTGATATTTATGACAACTTTGCGACTAGAATATGAAATACCTAACACAAAGAACTTCACTGAATTCTCTGGGATAGCTCGTATTAAAACTAATGCTTTTGTTGAAATTAAAAGGTTTAACCTTCAGTATGAGGTTACTACATGTTATAAATATAACCAGGGTGAATTGAAAATATTAAATAAAGAATTGAAACAATAAAGTAAATATTTTTTTCAAGGTTATTTTTTTAAATAAATAGTAAGTTCACATGACATTTAATTTAATAGTACGAAATTATTCAACTAAGTCCTTAAATAATGACTCTACCTTTGGCTGGAATTCTTTTACTTGTATTTTGAGATCGAAGTCAATCTTCGTTGTCTGTTCAACATTTTCTTGCCATTCTTTTTCCGACCAGTCTGCATATTTATTTGGCTGTACTTTTTCAGAACTTCTCAAATTTATTTGATTTATTTTACGCAACGTTTTCATAAAATTATGATACCTTGTATAGTATTCCTCGTCATCATATTTTTTCACGAACTTCTTAACGTAATCCGCGTACAATCGTGGTCCATCTCGCAAGTTGTAAATTAACGTCGGTTCTTGGCATTCAAATAACGAAAAGTAAAATACTGCGCAAATAATCGTATTAAAAATTATGTAAAACTTGGCGCCGAAAAGTGACATTATAATGATAAAGAACCGTTTATTTCAGAGATAGATTCATGTGTGAATAACTGATGCGTGAAATTTTAATCAAGCTCATGATGTGTGCTTGATTATAACAACACAGAGATAACAAACGAAATTAAGTTTGGAAATTAAAGCTAAATCTTTAAATTGCTACTAAAATAATACAAAATGTTCCATTATACCACATAACAATACAAAAATTCAAAAAGTAATATTTCTCTCGAAAATTTATCTGCTAGATTAATTTTTCGCAAAATTAGGCTCAAGGGCTTTTCACCAGCATTCCGACGAAAGACACACAGATATTTGAATAAATATAAAGTCCTACAATTATTTAAAAATCTTATAAACAAGAAGAAATTGAAATGTAAGCTTTACTTGCTACGGATCTAATGAATTTGAATATAAATATATTTTGCTAATAATCAAACGAAATATTGTGAAAACAAAGGATGGAAATGAATGAAAAGTCTACTCATTGCAGCAAAGCATATATTAATTGCGGCACTATATCTCAGTAGGGTCGACCCTTTCCTTGTCACAGGATACTTGACCATTACGAGACCCTGACACGCCCACGTCCATTGTTTTTAGAACCCTTATCTGGTCTACATTTCTGTTGGTGAAACAAAAGATTTTTGCTGGAAAACATATTCTTATTATTTAAGTTGCGCTTTTGCCAAAAACCACTTCACATCGGCTGACATTTCTATGAATTACGAGAACATAATACGTACGTATATTTATAAATAACTAATTATTTTGGAAGTTATACTTCTTTAGGCGCGTTATGAAAAATTGATGAGAGTGAATTTTTACGATGCGCGCGCACCTGAGACACAAAGTTGTCAGTGTGATTATAGCGTGGGCGAGCGAGATGGGAATAAGACAATCTACAAGTAAAAAGAAATAGAATATGCGTGAAGTTAGCAGCTATGCCAAGAATTTTGAATGACCATAATGACATTTACCTTTTAAACAAATAAAGGAGTTTTAATTATTTTTTTTACAGGTCTCCCTAGACTCAGTTCAGGGGCTCCAACATCTGCTAAAAATGTAACTTGTTATTAAATAAAAAAAATTGTTTTTTTTTTAAATCATTTGACAGATTTCTTAATAAGATAAAAACTTATGTCATGAGTTATGTGGCCCTACCTACCTTTCATAAAACACCTTTCTCTAATTTCCGTTTTAACCTGAACCTGTGTAATAGAGCCACGAGAAATAATTTACGTGTCCATTGGACTTATTTTAATTGCAAAGACTTATGCTTCATACTTTTAACGTTTTACTTTACATATGAAAAATTTAAGTAAGTTTTAAGGCATTGCTAAAATGTAATCACGAATCACGTTTGATATTAGCAGTCTCTCGTATTTTACCGGCGTCGGGACGTGACGACCCCATCGCCCCCTGGTGAAATAACCTGTGACAGAGGTTATTTCATCAGCGCAATCAGTCAACCCCTTCCTAGTGGGAGTGCCATGCTGTTGCCTTCGGGCTTCAGCCAAATGGGCAGGCACGACCGGGGCAGTACCACTGTCTCTTAGAAAACCGGTGTGAAGTGATGCAATAGGTTCGCCTTATTGCACTCGCGTTTCGTACGGTGAGGGAGACTCCCGGAGCCCATCCCCCCCCATATGAAATATGAAGGTGCAGAACAAACAGAATCTACCCCAGGGTACCACACGCGCTCGCGGTGGAGAATCCCCCTCTGGGCGTCCAAAACCGGGACACTCAGCACCCGGTGGTGGAACGCACAGGCTGCCCTTCGTATTCTAGGGGGGGGGCAATTCTGCGCTCAACAAAAACAGTTATTGTTCTCGGGGCAAACGGAGCAATTCAACAAAGGCACCCCCGTCCACGCTCGCCGTGGACTTCACAAATGTTAGGGGGCTCAATTCCAATATCAACGCAGTCCACTACCATTTAGAGACTGCGAAGCCGGCCTTGCTCTTTCTTACCGAGACTCAGATTTCCTCCCCGGCTGATACTTCCTACCTCTCCTACCCGGGGTACAAATTGGAACATTCATTTGTGCCGCGGGCGGGAGTTTGCGTGTATGTCAGAGAGAATATCTGTTCTCGTCGCCTCGGGACGCTTGAAGGAAGGGACCTATCTAACCTCTGGCTGCGCGTAGACTGCGATGACCATCCACGATTCTACGCATGCCTGTATAGGTCCCATAGCGGAAATACCGAAACTGACCGACTCATTGAGCACATCCAAATGGCTACAGATTCCCTGCTCGAAAGGGTTCCTACCGCTGAAATCGTGATACTTGGCGATTTTAACGCCCACCATGCCGATTGGCTCGGATCTGAAACCACCGATCACGCGGCAAGATCCTTTCACGACTTTGCTTTAGCCTACGACCTGACACAAATGGTCCCTGCGATTACGCGAATACCAGATGTGGATGGTCATAAACCCTCTTTGTTGGACCTTCTGCTGACTTCACATCCGGAGAACTATCAAGTAACTGTTGACCCACCATTGGGTTCATCGGATCATTGTGTGGTCCGGAGTACTGTGCCATCTACGGCCCCGCTTTATGGGTTGTCGCCGTATTTGGCACTATAAGTCAGCAGATTGGGACGGGATGCGGTCTTTCTTTGCGTCCTAGCCTTGGGGGCCTATGTGCTTTTCGCCGGAAGCTCCAGATTCCGTCGCCACCTCTGTCGCCAAAGTGGTTCTGCAGGGCATGGAACTCTTTATTCCATTTTCTGCGGTGCCGATCGGTGGCAAGTCTCAGCCCTGGTTTAAACGTTCTTGCAAGGCGGCCTCGCGTCGAAAGCGAGAATGCTTTAAGGCATGGGCGGAAGCGGCGAAATCTCGTGATGCCAATATCAGCGAACTTAAAACAGCATATAACTCAGCCTCCAGGTTCTTCAAACGGGAAATCACTAAGGCAAAGTCAGAGCACATTGACAGATTTGGCGAGAGATTGGCCCAGCTCCTTCAGGGACTCGAGCCTTCTGGTCTCTCGCCAAAGCTGTCCAAGGGAATTTTTGTCAGCCCGCCATTCCGCCACTGCACAGGGAGGATGACTCTCTGGCCCACACTGCGAAGGAGAAGGCCGACCTTTTGGGCTGTCTCTTCGCGTCCAACTCGACTTTGGATGACCAAGGAAGATCACCACCGACCATTTCGCGGTGTGATTCTTCGATGCCGGAAATCACATTCCGGCAACGTGCTGTCCGCAAAGCACTATCTTCCTTGGACATTCATAAGTCGAGCGGGCCGGATGGTATCCCCCCAATTGTGCTGCGTATTTGTGCTCCTGAGTTGGCTCCGGTCTTAACGCGCCTTTTCCGGTACCTGTACTCGCTCGGCACTGTCTCGAAGTGCTGGAAGACCGCTTCGATACATCCGATCCCTAAAAAAGGCGATCGCTCTGATCCGTCCAACTATCGCCCAATAGCTATAACCTCCTTGTTCTCCAAAATAATGGAAACCATTATTAATTGCCAGCTCTTGTGGTATCTAGAGGGCCACCCGTTGATTAGCGATTCTCAGTACGGCTTTCGTCGTGGTCGCTCAGCTGGTGACCTCCTTGTATACCTTACCCATAGGTGGGCAGAGGCAAGGGGGAGGCGCTGGCGGTAAGTTTGGACATAGCGAAAGCCTTCGATCGGGTGTGGCACAGAGCACTGCTCTCGAAGCTTCCAGCCTATGGGCTTCCCGAGAAATTATGCGATTGGATCTCCAGCTTTCTGGCCGATCGGAGCATCAAGGTCGTCATCAACGGAGCATGTTCCGACCTTAAACCTTTGAACGCTGGGGTCCCTCAAGGCTGTGTTCTATCCCCGACCCTATTTCTTTTGCATATCAATGATATGTTGCAACTTAGCAACATTCATTGCTATGCGGATGACAGCACTGGGGATACTTTTTACACTGGCCGGGCAGGTATTTCTCGGGCAGTTGTTGATGAGTACCGGAACAAACTTGTGTCTGAAGTCGAAACTCTACTACGTGGAGTCTCAGACTGGGGTAGACAAAACCTAGTCCAATTTATCCCCAAGAAGACACAAGTTTGCGCGTTTTCCGCTAAAAAAAACACCCTTTGTCGCTACTCCTCTTTTCGAAAACACTCTTCTTAAAGCCACAGCCAGCATTGGAATACTTGGCGTTGACATATCGAACGACGTACAGTTTCGCGGTCACTTGGAGGGAAAGGCTAAATTAGCCTCCAAAAAGCTTGGTGTGCTCAGCAAGGCGAGGCGGTACTTCACTCCGGGCCACCGCATGCAACTATATAAAGCGCAAATTCGGCCCCACATGGAGTACTGCTCTCACCTCTGGGCGGGGGCTCCCCAGTACCAGCTCCTTCCACTTGACCGTATACAACGCAGAGCGGTTCGAATCGTCGCCGACCAATCCCTCTCCGAGCGGCTTGATCCTTTGGCGTTGCGTAGAGATGTGGGGTCACTCTGCATCTTCTACCGCATTTACCATGGAGAGTGTTCAGAGGAGTTGTTCGGATTAATACCTGCAGCTGAGTTTCATCATTGGACGTTGAGGCAGAATACGAAATTCCACCCGTATCACCTCGACGTCCGCCGTTCCACAACTGAGCGTTTTTCAAGGCAGTTTTTGCCACGCACCACCACTATCTGGAATCTGCTGCCCACTGAAGTATTTCCGAACCAATTCGACTTAGGGTCCTTCAAGAAAAGAGCGTACCAATTCTTAAAAGGCCGGCAACGCACTCGCAAGCCCTCTGGCATTGAGAGTGTCCATGGGCGGCGGTATCACTTAACATCAGGTGAGCCTCCTGCCCGTTTGCCCCCCGTTCTATAAAAAAAAAAAAATTTAATAAGCGAAAGGATTCGTCAGCCGTAACATTGATTAGTTATTGTACTAGCCTAATATTTGATTTATTGTAAGCTTGTCTTACAAATAAACGGACGGAACAAATATTGGAGTTTCTATAGATAAAAGCTGCTAAATGGCTACTTATTTCACGTTGCCCTTTGTATTGAAGTCTG